GTCAGAGCATTTGACATACATACCATCCCACAGCAGTATACACAAACATATTTGTTTTTATTGTGTTCAACAATGAGATATTTTAAATAGTTGTGTAGTTGTTTTGAAACTGAAAGTAATAACTGCAAGTGTATGCACATTTCAGTTTGTTTTGACAAATCTAGAGATTTGTGCACTTAAACCAACTGTAATTCTGTTGCATTTTAGAAACCAATAAATTATGGAATCTGAAAATTTGGAACATTTGAAATTTAACATCAGGATTAACACACCTGAATTAAGACATCACATCCCAAAAGAGGCAGAGAGATACAGAACTAGTTTAAGCATTAAATAAGAAAGCAACTGCAAAGTAACAAGTGCTCAGATTATAGCATTTTTTTGAGTTTTATCCACTCTAATGTTTCAATTGCTTTTAAAATAGTTCATATTATAATGTGAACATAATAAGAATAAATGCTTCCTGCCTTCTTCCTTTCCTCTCTTCCATAAATTCTTTCCTCCCCTCATTTTCATTTTTTCTCTTTTCCTTTTTATCATTGTGCACAAGACAAAGAATAAAAAATGTAAAACCTTTTTTCTGTATTAAAAAAATCATTCATATATATTGGGTCAACTCTTAGTCACGGAATTGAAAGAACCATATACTTCAAATTAGTATAGGCTCTCTTAAGGGAGGATATTTGAAAATACTGATTGCATGGTCAGCTTCAAGGATGCAAGGTCGATGGTACAGTTTTCACATTACATTCCCTGGACTTAGATTTAATGCTGGGTATTATTGCTATCTGGAGGCACTTGTGGTTGTGAGAGTATTATGGAAAAGAAAGGAAAATGAATTAAGATTCCTCTCTGCTGCTACTATTAGAAAGTTCATGCTCTCCTCAACCCGTCCTCTCTCAGCATTTTTCTTCATCAAGAATCCCTTGATATTAAATGTTTGAGCCATTATTACAATTACATATTAAATTAGTTGGGCAGGGGTGTTAAATAAGTACCAATGGTTTTATTCAAATGAATGAAATATAAACTATGGCATTGGAAAAACTGCCTATGTCAGTATTTGAATAAAACACGTAGCAGTTTTAATATAAGCAAATCATTTGACATGAATTTCAAATTTATATATAATATACATACCACATAGAATTATAAGGGTTGTACATATGTTATATATGAAAACTCAATGATTTTGTATTTATATGCCAAGTCATAATACTTAAGTTAAAAGGTCTTCACTGTGACTGTCCTTTGGTGTACCAATTTGAGTGCCTCAAGTAACATGCAAGAGAATTTTTCTTAGTTATTATTTCTGAATGAAAACTTACCATGGCATGGTGGCTGGGTATAGAGCACACATGAGCATCATAGACATATCCTTATTATTTAAGATTATAGACAGTGTCTTAGAATAAATTTAGCAGAGCAGGAGGGCTGCCCATCACTGAAGTGGGGGGATTCTGAGTCTATTAGGTGAACTTGTAGAAATGGGTGTTAATAATAAACATGCCTGTATTATCCAACTTGTGTTCATGGATCCAAAGACTTAAAGAGTTGCATGACAAAATTATTCCAAATTGCCTTTAGTTATTCATTTTTAGAGCAACTGGGGAGTCCTATTTATGATCTTTAGTTTGTTTTCTTTCCTGCGTAACTGGAAAAATGAATGAAACACCAAAAAATAAAAAACATGAAATTCCTATGTCTACAGACCTCATTAAATCTACTTTGAAAATTGAATAAACTAAGCACATTACTTACATTATATATAACATAAACGCACATAATTGTATAGAAAAATAACAAAGAAAGTTACAAATCTACAAAATTGCCTGTCATCAAAATTTAAGTCATTTAGATCTTGCCAATTATTTAGATTTTTTCCTGCAAAAACAATGTAAAATAAATAGAAACACTAGACAATTTAGCCAAAATAAACAAGAAATGGTTCAATATTCAATGTCCTGGAATATTTTAGAATATTAAGCATCTTTACATCTGGGTGATATTTTCTTCTACATTTTTTCTTCATCACTGAAAGCTCTCCTAGTTACGATCAGAGATTGTATGTAAAACTGCAGTATATTACTCCAAATTAAATGATGGGCTTCATACATTAATCAGAATGTGCATACATTATGATGCAGAAAATTTTCTGATCAATGATATCAATTGAAAGTTCAGTCAATGAGATTATAACATGACATAATTCAGAATATTTAAGGTGAGTTAGTATGCGAGGGACAAGAAAATGGTTCTTTGAAGATATTTGCAGAGGGTAGCTTGACAGGTCCTGACATCTGTCAAAACTTGATAAAAGATTGGTTTATTCTTAGGAGATAGTTAATTCTTATGCTTGTTTAAAAAAACTAAGTGTGTTATTATGTGTAATTGAGGTCTAATATGTACATGTCATTGTATCCTTTTGATAAAAATTATACATTTAAGCATATTCATAGACTTAACATCCAGTTTTTTCTAAAAAAATTGAACTCTAAATGACGTTTAGCTTTAGGATGGGTTATTTTCTATTCATCTAGATCAAATCTGTACTTGTTAGAAATGTTTGAACACTGCATTACTAATTTTCCCTACTTTGCCAATTGATAGTCTAATTTCTCAATAATTCCAAATTATTTTTAATGAGTTGTACCAAGTAAGCTTAAGTATGAGGACATGGATAAAGGTGTGGCTTTTACGACAGGACATTTTAAAAGGCTCTTATTCTTCATAAGCAATAAAAAATGATAATCTTATTTGAAAGTTGGTAATAAGTTTAGAGGGTATTCAAAACTAAGATGTACCAGAGGTGTCACTCACCTTAAGTACTCAAATTGTAAGGCAGCAGGGCTTAGGTATGAGCATTTTCAGGCAAATTCAGTGGTCCCCTTTCCCATACACAATACTCCTCTGAGGGTATCTGCAAAGTCTTCTTCAGATTTTCATTATGGAAATAACTAAGAAAATGAATGATGTCTCATATTTCCTCTGAGGTGAGAAAGTTTAGCTCTGAATTGGTCTATGGAGCTGAAAGCTATGCTCCACTGTGACTTATCAGTAAAACATTCCCATATCATTTCTTAAAATTACTCACTTCATTTTCTAAATATTTTCTTCTTTCCCTTTCCTCCACATAATCTATTGACTACCTTCTGTACATGGGTGCCTTTGTGTACAATATTCAAAAAAAAAAAAAAAAGCAGAAGTAGCTCTCATTGTCTTCTCTGTGCCTGTATCCATTCTAATTCTTATTTTAGTATGATGTAGTGCTCTTTCAACCCAGAGCTTTCCTACTAAGATAATATTCTAAAAATTGAAAGCAATGAGACTCTGACCAATAATGGAAATAGTGTTATCATCCATGTAGCAATTTTATGTTTGCTGACAAACCTGAGATAGAGTAATCCTCCTTCAAAATAAAAATGTAGATTTGAGTCTTCAATCTATATTAATTTCTATTCATTATAACATGAGAGGAAAATTATGAGTCCTATGGGGGAAGACCAAATGTGGGGGACATGTAACAGTCTCCACTCATGCCATAATAGAAGAAAAGAAATGAGAGCTAAGTTAGATTCAGCTGGAATGTAACATATCCACAGCTTTATCACTCTAAAAATTATATCATTTAGATAGAATAACAAACTATTGAAGGAACCACTTTTATCTAAGTCAGAGTGGCAGACTCCAAATGTTAGAGAACTTGTGGAGACTGTAGTTGAAACATCAGGAAGAAGATTGCAATCCGCAGATTCTCATCTAATCCCAATGCTGCCTGATAATGTTCACCCAACACATTGTAATTACTCTACTGGCTTTTAATAGCACAGCATTTTTGATTTCTGAAACTACCAAGTAAAATGAACCACATTTTATGTTCACTACATTTATTTATAAGATGCAGATGGTAAAGGGAACAGATGCCCCTGACATCATCTCTCAATTGGCTTCAATTTATGCAGACACTGGCAGCCTGTAAATTCACTCAGAGGATACAGGATAAGCCAGGCAGCTTTCTAATTCTATTTCCAGCCCCAATCCATACCACCACCACCCCACCCCACCACCACCTGAGACAACAACAACAAACTCACCACTGGCAGCAAACTGCTGCTCCTTTGAGTCATAGAATGGTAATGCCACAAAACTAAATTTGATTATAAATCTGTGTCAGTCTTTAACACAAAATTAATCAGCAGAAGAGGTTGTTGGGACTTCCAAAGCTAGGAGTTTTGTAGTTACTAACTACTGCCTGTTTTGTTGACAGTGACAGAAAAGCTAGATAGAGTGGAAATACTGTGATGGTGAACAGCCATATCTCCAGGGAGGCAAATGAGCTTTTGAAAAGAGTAGCATTTCCAAAACAATTCACTGAATTTCAGCATCCACTGTTCAGTCTTATTTCTTGAGTAAGAAAAGAAAAAAAAAAAAAAGCCTTTATTCTATATTTTCTAAAAATTCTAATAGAAACTTTCATCGTTTCCTCAGTGATTTCAGTGAACACTATACAAAATAAAAGAAATTCAATTTTTTTATTTCATTTTTCCTTTGTGCAGGATAAGTAATTGAAGACCTTTTCAAAAGATAAGGAACCTTTTGTAGTCTATCTTAAGAGCAAGAGATGACTGGGTAAAGCAGCAACTGCAAGGCCTTTTGTAGTGTTTGAGGTCCCAGGATAGATTAGCACAGTTACCAAAGAAGGCGAGTTAAAAGTACATTAAAATCTTCCCATCTTCCCAGACCCCCATAATATATACCTCTGTAGAACAACCATTTTAGCAGAAACAAATTCAGAAACCAAGGCAAGGAAAGCAATAACATAAAAATAAATCCTGCTAGGCCAAATAGGATGCCTATTTTTAAAAGTATTTCTCTGTGCAAATAACAGACTGAACACACACACTCTCCCCACACATACACAAGTGTACAAGAATAAACAAAGTTATCTAGTTAATATCCACAAAGTAGGTTGGGACTCATTAGTGCAAATTTTTGCTGACCTGCAGCATTTAGTCCATAAACTTTGGATATCCTAGACGATCCATCAGTGTCCAGCAGATATTTTCAATTAGTTTGATTTCATCTCTAGGCAAGTTTTGTTTCCAAATATTAGTATTAGATGGTGATATTTCCCCCTCATAAGGAAGATAAAAAAGGTTCGTGGAAGTGGCAAACAGTATTTGGTTTAAACTAGCAGGAGACAAAGGTATTCCAAGGAAAGCAAAAATACTTTCAGTAGTCTTTTGAGGAAAATGAACAATATCTTCAAACTTGACCAGCTGGTAGCTGGTAGGCAGCAAATCTGTATTTATTCTCAAAGCAGCTGCAGTGTTGGCTAGCCACAAATGAGATAGTAAGGAGACAGTATTTGATTGGGATGTTTCTAATTCTTTCTTCAGTGATTCATACTCAAAAGCATAGCCTGAATTTAAGTTACATTTACTTTTACCTTCCTCCATTTTAAACAATTTTGCTAAATGCTCTGGTACATTTTTCAAAGAATAAAGACTTGGTTTACTACCATATAGCATTGAATAGATCCAGGCTCGAGGGTCTCTTACTATGTACAATGCCCGCATCGAAGTTCCTAAAACTTCCTGAAAAAAATGAAGCTTCAATGTCCAGCTACCACTACTTAAACTAAGCACAGGACGAGCACTTGGGTAATAAACTAGATGTCTTCTCAAAGCCCTAATATATTCAGCATCTCTATCAAAAGCTCCTTTCATTCTACTTCTTTGCTCTTGCAAAGACTCTCTCCTTTTCAATTTTCGTTTTTTGTCCTTATTAGCTGCAAAATATTGGACCAGTTTATTCCTACTGGTTTCATGTAGATGAATGTTTTGCAAGTGCAGTTTTGTGTCGTGGACCAAAGACAGCAGCCACCCTCGAAGAAGACGGAAATGTCCAGTATGGATATCTGATACTTTCCATTCACAAGCATCTACAAATGAGTCAATTTCAAGTTCAGTTTCGGGAATATCAATGTAGGCTGTAGGGATTCTGATGTAGAGAAAATCACTACTGTTGAAAAAAAGCTGTTTGAGAATTTCAGCTCCTGAACCAGGGAGTGAGGTAATAACAACATCAGGCAGATCTACATGCTTCCCTTCAGAAATTATGGTCTTCTCATTTGCCTTGGTTTCAGTCCTTGTCCATTTTGCACAAATGGGCTGAGTGCAAGTGCTCCACACATCCAGAAGCTCAATAAACCACAAGGCAATAACAAGCATTAACACACAGCGCATTAGCTTTCTAAAAGAAAGGTAGAACCACCACTGAAGAGTTAAAATAATCAAACTAATACACAAAATGAATCCAATTGCTATATTAAATTTAAACCCAAAAGGGAAAATAACACTATCATATCTTACAGGGTTTACTATTGCTTGAGTCCCCAAACCAAATCGGGTTATTTGGCCTTGATTAGCCACACTGGCAAAACCACCAAATCCCAGGTAATCGAATCTACTCTTCAGGTTTTGATAGTCAGTTACAACAGAAACACTATGTTCAGTATTATTGACATTTAGAGAAATCTGAAGTCCAGAAGTGGAACTGTCAATAAATCTGCAGCTGGAAACATTGATATATGGACCATAAAATACATAAGCAATTCTTGTGATTATGGATTCCATATGAAATGTAACATTAACAAACTGAGTCCACCTTTTCTTAAATTCAGCAGCTTGTTCTGCTTCCTGTATATTAGCCACAGGAGTGTTGCCATGATGGTCAAACCAAAACATTTTATAGTGTGCATCCCACACATCCATCATGGCACCATTATACCTATTCATAAACCTGTATGGGATGTATTTAAAATCAATATCCAAATTATGAAAGAAGGCACTGACCAAATTTATTGGGGAAGTTTCCTGCCTTTCAATGTGGTCAACAACAAGTAGAGTTTGAGAATTTAAGAGAAGTAAAGCACGATAGACACTTTTTAGTCTCATTGCTGAAGAATAAGCAGACACTGCTTCCCCACTCACAAACATCATTTCTCCATGTTGTGAAGCAGTAATAACTTCCCCAGCTGCATCACCAACCTCTTCACCAGTCCACTTGAGCCACTGTGCACATTCTCCCAGTTGACCTTCCCAGGGCTTATTACACTGGCTTGATGGTGATGGGGCAAACACCAATACATTGTTAAGGTGGCTCAACTTTGGTCCATAAAGAGCCTCAGAAACAAATACTTGCCCATTGGGAGCAAAAGTAAATGAATTTTGATCTGGATGTTCATGACCTGGGTTAAAGCTTCTCCATCCATCAATCCAGGAATAAGGCTGAAAGTGAACTATGTCATACACAGCTCGTCCTCCCAGTTTCCCAGATTTAAAAGACACAAAGGTATTGGTCTGTGTATTTGGCAGTCCAGCCCCATAAGTCACAACACCCCAGTTAGGAAATGTGTGCATTTTAGCTGTGCCAAAGTCAACAGGAGGCTGTGGGGTGAGCTTTGGATCATACCAGATGTATTCAGTATGAAGAGTACTCCACCTTTGGGAAGTGGAAGGAACCATTGGTCCATCCTTAGGTCGATGTTTTCTAATTTGCTGAGCTAGCCAATTTCCAGCTCCATTTCTTAAAATGAACTTATCCAAGAAAACAAGCTGGCTCTCTGGACCATAAAACCAATTATAATTGGAATCCGCTACACCTACAGTCCTTTGATAGCCTGGCAAAAGTGTAGCATAATAAAACCAAAAGTGCATTTTTAACCAGTTATTATTCAAGTTGTTGATGTTAAAATGGCGTTGTGCCAAGAAAACATACTGTGTAACTGATTTTGAGGTATAGCTTCCATAGGCTACACCTTCATCCAAAGAGCCATCTACAATATGATTCAAGAGAAACATAGTCTTTTCCATAACATCAACAACATCTTGTTTCCATATGTTTGTCTTAGATCCTTTATCTACTCCAGCAACCAAGGCCCCTATGAGTAATGCTATCATATTTGTAGCTTGGTGGTTATGAAGAAGTTGTTTGCCCCATGATCGAATCTTCGAATATTCATACATTTCCTCAGTAACTATCCGTATTTTTTCTAGGTATTTTTGTTTTCGCTGATTACTTAACAGATTATACAAAAAGTCAAAGGCAGTGGCAAAGCCTGTTAAAGAATGACCAACTGGAACTTCATCCCCTGGTGCATTCTCAACTAGCCAGTCTTTATAGTTAACCATCCTGTCCATGTATTCCAAGACAAATTCAAAGGCAACTTTGTCTTCTGGACATAATAAACAATACAGTGCTAAAGGAGGAAGATTATTACCATATATTTCATTCCACTTGGCTGCAAAATCAGCATGCTTGGGTGGAGGTAGGTAGTATGTTGGATTAGACAGCATAATTGTCACTGCACTTTTGATAGCCCTAAAAAGATGTAAATGGCTTGTACGAGATTTTTGTCTCATTGTTTGTATATCCCCAAAATCAAAATACAAATTTGGATGAAGTTTTTGGTTGGGCTTGAAATCTTGTACTTTATGATTCTTAAATTGTTGTATATCATCTGTGAAAACTGCCCATCCAGAGTAATTGCTCACAGATTCTTCACAAGTAGAAAAACTAAACACCATCAATATTAAAAATAGGAAATGTCCTGTAAACATTAACGCCATGATCCATCAGGAAGATCTTTTCCTTAGGCATACATGTTAAACAGTGTTTAATGTGTTTCTCATCTTGTTATTATAACATATATTAAAGTCCTAGATAAATCAGACCTTATACCTCATAGGCTGTGAAATCCAGATGACATTCAGTTCATCCAAAGCAAGGAAGGTTGCTATGAAAGGAAAACTTACATCACATCTCTGTGTCCCCGGCAAAGTTTGGCTTCCAATAAAATAAAACTTCAAGAAATATGAATGCCTCCAATGTCTCCATAATGTACAGAAAACAGCAGTGTAGTCAGAAAATACCATGAATCCAGTATTTATTTCCTTTATGTAAATCTAATTAACATATAAAATCAGAGAAGAGGAGAGAAAAAAAATCCCAAAATTCAAATAAAGTCATTTGTAGAATGTAGCACAAGAAACCATCCTTCATGATTAGCTCACCACATATTCATGGTGTTTCTGTTTGTTCCCAAAAAGAAAATGATAAAGTACTGTCATTCTCAGAGTGACCAAACTTCATTATTGTTTCTCTCAGAGTCTTATGCACTGTGGTTTGTGAATTGTTTCTTCTTCCATTTCAGGGAGGAAAAATTCTGAACAAGTGTTCAAAGTCCTACATGGTTGATAAACATGATCGAAATTTCTGCCTTCACTTCAAACATCTTTTTAAAGTATTTCCAAATCTTCCTTTTATCAAGTTTATCTGCACCTCTAGAGGAATCTAAGCTCTTCAATCTCTAGGTGCTTCTCTTCAAATCATAACCACCAACTGGGAAAGAAAATTTCCCTTTCAGCAACACTGAAGACTGTTTTCTGTTCCTTTTTCATGTCACTCATCTCTGGGTGGAAAAAAAAAAAAAAAAACAGAGCAAATTTCAAAGGCTACCGGTATCCTGAGAGTGGAGATTAACTAATGATTTAAACAGTTTGAGTCATTTAATAAAAATGTGAGAATCAGTTAACACCTGATATTATTTGCCATTTAACTTTCCTAATGTCCCCCACCCATATTTTCATACTCATTTGGATCCTAGTTAATATTAGCAGAGAAGAAGCAACTACAAGACATACTTCATATCTCAATGTGTTAGCTTTCGCTATTTAAACATGTTTCTATTCACATGTCATCATCATGAAAATGAATAAAATATTCTCGTTATTTTGGTTATGAAAAGTAAAAGTCAAAATGACCCTTTCAAATTATGGTTCAAAGTTTAGCTTTTAATGAATCAGAAAATCACTTACGAGAAAAGTCATTTTTCTGAAGACAAATTACGACTGACAGGGCAGGAGGCTGAGAAAAGGAAACGTTGACTCAGTTGCTCACCTGTAGCTGCCGGCAACATCCTCACCACGAGCCACCAGAGGGCGATCAGACTCAGGTTTAAGGAACAGGCCTCTCCTTAGCCCGTCTTGGATTTGGAAGAACCTCACTAAGTTTCAGTCTTAGACAAGTCTCCTTTCTGTAGGAAACAAACACTTCTAATAGTCTCCTGACCTTCCTCGCCTGTTGCATATTTTAATTCGTGTCTTTAGAGCGCATCGCCCTTCTGCTCAGCTCCCCACTTTCTGATCTGTGACTGCGAAGTGGGGACTAGAGACATCTAGATGGCCAAGCCGGCTTACCTCAAGCCTGCGACAGGGTCTTCAAGCTGAGCTGGGCCCCAACACAGGCGAAGGTAGGGAGCTCAAGAAATTGCTGTTGTCAGGAGGCGGGCCTGCAGAGACCAAGAGCTGCGCAGGCGACGCGGGACTGCACAGGCAGCTGCCGGGCGGGGTCTCCAATGCGCACCTGGTCTCCTCAGCTCCGGGGTCTCCTCGGCGCGGGGTCTCCTCAGCTCCGGGGTCTCCACAGCTCCAGGGTCTCCTCAGCTCCGGGGTCTCCTCGGCGCGGGGTCTCCTCAGCGCGGGGTCTCCACAGCTCCGGGGTCTCCACAGCTCCGGGGTCTCCTCAGCTCCGGGGTCTCCTCAGCTCCGGGGTCTCTTCGGCGCGGGGTCTCCACAGCTCCGGGGTCTCCTCAGCTCCGGGGTCTCTTCGGCGCGGGGTCTCCACAGCTCCGGGGTCTCCTCAGCTCCTGGGTCTCCTCAGCTCCAGGGTCTCCTCGGCGCGGGGTCTCCCAAGCGCCACAGCCCCCCCGGGCGCGAGTCTCCTCAGGGCCAGGTCTCCACACCCGGACACGCCCGCCCTGAGGAACGCTGGTCGCTCGCTGGGGCGGCTCCGGTGGCAGAAGACAACCCGCGGGCGGCGGGCGCTCAGAGGCGCGGTGTTCAGCTGCGCGCCGCGACCCAAGGCCCGGATGTCGCCTGGGCCGGCGCTCCACCGAGCCAGCTGCGGTCGCCCGGTCCGCGGAGGGCGAGAAAAGGCGACCAGGGCCGGAGGGCGGGGGCGGGGCCTGATCAGAGAGGCGTGTCTGGGGCGGGGCGTGTCTGGGGCGGAGTCTTGGGGGAGGGAGAGCGGCGCATCGCCGGGCCTGCGAGCCAGGGCGGGGTGCTACAGAGACGGGTGAGGCCCAGCAGAAGGCCTGAGCGCTGCGTGCACTGCGCCAGGAGGCGGGCGGTGGCTCAGGGGACCCCGCGCTGCAGGAGCTCCTTGGGAAGGAGCTCCGAGTGTGAGTCTGGTCGGCTTGGCAGCCGCTCTAGGAACAATTCGACTAGATTTGGTGGAAGTTTAGAAGCCCCTTTATTGAAGATCTGTCTGGGCTTACTTATGTTCTGACTTTCTGGTTATCGGACAAAGACAACTGTAAAACATCTAAATGTGGCAGAAAGGAATTGTAATTACAAATAATCAGAGACTCTTGGGGGATGGGATGGGTGACGACAGCGGAAAGACTAGAGTGATCAGTTACCCTTAAGAGCTGAGAAAGGATTGGATAAGCACTTCTTTGGGACCCTGAGGCACACTGGCTGAGATTGCTGTCATAGAAAAACAAAACCAAAATATCCAGATAAATATACTGGGAGCAACTTCAACAGCAAAATGAACTAGTCAGCTCTACTTATTGAAAGCTTCTGCTGGAGTGTAAATAGGAACAACTATGGGGCAACACGCATGATGGAATCTGATGAAAGAAGTAGGAATCAGCAGTCAGTAAAAGCCCATATAGAGAACCCTTACTGCCATACTACCACCACATATGTGTGTGTAATTTGAAGCTTGGAAATTCAATTGCAAAACAGGTTGGGCTATGGTTTCTGTTGTACTCACTTGAGCATTTTCCACAGAGTTTAGATTACACTTGGACATAGGCCAACGGACAGTCTGGCCAATAACTTGGCCATAATAATACAAGGAGCTGTCAAGCTTCACAGATGAAAATTTCATTCCTAGTTGGGGATTAGTTACACTCCAGTTTCCTTCTAACCCTTATTATTGACTAAAATGCGCATCTGTATTCATGGGGGAGGTGAGGGAGGAAGCAAGGTGCTTGAATAACATCCTGGTAAGAAGCAAAGATAACTTTACCAGCAGAGTTAATTTGAGAGCCTGTAATTATAAACAAAACACACTTACTTTTGTCCCAGTTGGAACTCTGCCCCAGTCCAATAGCCAAAGTAAGTTTTGCTTTGGCCCTTCAGTAATTGTATGTATTCTGTGGCTTCCTCAGTGTCTACTACCCAATCACCCCCAGGTAGTGGCTGCAATTTTTTTTTCTGAATGGATTTTTCTTATCCTGGTCAGAGTTTATATCTTTAAATTCCTTATCAGTTTTCTAGACCAAACTATTTCAACAGAACGATATTCATTTTTCTTGTGTGGGTTTCTAAATTGTTCTATGGATTACTGTCTCACTTGGTTCATTACTCTGCTCTACATGAGAATCTACCTGGCCATGGATAGCTAGTACTTTTGTAACAGCTTGGTTTAAAATGAGTTTATCTTTTAACAGTTTAGCTTGAATGAACTTATCACCTTTACTAAAAGTTGCTCTAAAACGAAGGTCTTCCTTACAGACAACTTCTCACAAACAGCTGGTTTGTCTTCATGGTGCCAGATTACAGAACACTCACTGCCCTGTCTTCCTTATGTGAAAGTAGGGAGTTCTGACATCATGGACATCAGACTCCATTTTCTACCAAGAAGATCCAAGAAGTCAGTGTTCATAAAAACAGTTGGTAGATGTTTCTTAAAACAAGATATATGCACAAAGTAATTTCATCTTGTTGGTTGCACAGTGCCCTGTGATGTGAGGGCTACCAGAATCAGGAAGTATTAGTGTCAGAAAAACAGCAGTCACACAAAGTTTTCATCCAATCATTGTATTTTCTGATTTATTATCATCAGAATGCTAATTTTCACTTCACCGATAAATGAATCCCATGCATAGATATTGAGTTGTTTTTTTTTTTTTTTTTAATTTCCGAGCCATACACACATCTGGAACTAAGCTGTGGGGATGTAGCTAAGTTCCCAGCATTCTCAGATGAGCTTTCAGGATGATTCGTTTTGAACACGAATCTTCTCACAGTTCTGACGTCTGAGTGTGCTGAAATAAAACAGTTAAACGATTCAAATCCCTTGCAGAAAGGCTGGTAGGTAAATGGCACTATTAAAAATGAAGAGAGTCTTGTTTCCTATGAACTAAAAATGGATAGCTCCAATTATGACTTCCACGCACATGAAGATGCTACAAAGTTAGTTAATTATAAATAATGCATCCAACCATAGAAGAAATGAGGTATAGTCTATGTTATTGTACATTAAAATCCTTCATGAATGTGGCAAGAGACACATATACCAACAGCTGCTAAATTCAGAATCCTAGAACAGTATCTTATTTTAATGAAAATGAAGTATAGTACAGGGTATTGCTCTGGGGATTCCTTTCTATATAAAGGGATCTTAAATCTACATGAGATTTTATGCAGTGATTTCAAATACTTATGAAAATCCATTTTCTTTATTTGCATATCTTTTAACCAATTTTCAAGTACCCAACTTAAAATAATAGAGACAGTGTTTTCTAGAATAGATGCCCTGTCCCCCACCCTGGTCTGAAGTCTTTCTTTTTCTTCATGTTCTCTGTATACCTGTTCCTCCAGCCCTTCCTTCATTCCTCCCTTCCTTTAATTGTTTTCTCTCCCCTCTTCCCTCTCTGTGCCCTTCCACTTTTTCTTTCTCTCTCTCCCTCTGACCCTGTCTTCCTACTTCCCTGCCTCTGCTTTTCTCTCTTTCCCTCCTTTCTATTCTCTGTACATCCCTCCCTTGATATATTTTCCAGAGCCCAGCACTTTGGATTGAGCATGTTGAAAGTTGAGCATATATCACTACCCCCATTTAAAATGGAAGAGAGAATGATGTAAAAGTCTAAAGACAGTAGCTAAATTTAGAAGCTCTTTTTCTTATGTGTTGTGATATTTGTTTCTGCATAACCTATAGTTGTGTATTTGTCTTGAGGGTAACTTAATTATGCAGTGATACATAGGATTGGGCAGTTAGCCAACCTTTTAAAAAGATTATTAGAAATAACTTTATTTCTAAGATAGGTCAATTCATGTTCTTAGATTTACAATGTAAGTTAAATAGTACACAGTCATAAAGAATAATAAAATGCAAACAGTAAAACAAACCAGTGACTACATAAAATTCCTAGGCTGGAATATTTTTTGCCCATATCTATTATTTTGATGGACTCTTAATAACTGGGATCAAGAATCCAAGAATCATTTTATGTTCACCCAGCACCAAACTGTTGAAGGAGAATTGTTCACACCGCTACTCCACAGTGCCAATGAAGCCACATTGAATCAAGGATGTAGTCAGTGATTAGATGCCAGGATTAACCATAGAGATGTTAGAGATCTGAGGAATTTGGGTAGAGAGGGACAGGAAGAGAGAAGAAGGGGCTGAGGGGAATTTCTGGGGCATTTGGATCTGGAAAACTTGGAGAGTAGGGTCAGCCAATCACCCTTCTGCTGTACTGTGGATTTATCAGGTTTTTAATCTCAATTTCTGACTCCTGAATTTTTATTAATACTAGTACAATTTAGGTAAATATTGCACCAAACCAGGCACATATTCAATGTGCAGGCTTTCAAAATACAAACACTGGGACCTTAGGAATGGATTTGCTATTCTTCTATTAGAATTGTCTTCCTTGATAAGCTTTCAGATTTTGAAGATTGAACAGATATTTTGGACCACTTACCAGGGCCAGGATATGGTAGATTGATCTGCTACCAATATTTGAAGTAGTGTTTGCCATGAGTGAAGGGATTTAGTATCAGTGACTGCATAGAAAGGGGTACCAAAAGTCAGTGGGCCAACTGTAATAGGCCACACCCAAACTACAGATTTAAAGAAGAGAGTAGCATCTTGAAATACTCTGTTAGCAATTGTTCTGAATACCGAAAGTGTCAAAATGACAGGAGTTTTGGCTGCAGAATTTCTAATGAAGATGTGTGATTTGAGTGTGCTTACCCAACTGCACAAGGATCAGTGTAATGGCAACTAGATTTATAAAAATAAAAAACAAACAAAACAAAAAATTCCTTACCAAATCCAAATTCTAAGAAAAGAAGTTTTTCCTTTAAGTTAAAGTTTTGAATTTGTAAATGAGAAAAAAAGTATATGGCAATTACGTTTTCTTACACATGATTTTGCTTTTTCTATGAGGGAAAAATTCAATCAAGTTTTCAAAGGTATCACAAGGTGGATTTCCAGGCCACTTCTTTCCACTGTTCTGTTTTTTCAACTTCCTCCGCTGTGGGAGCACACACACACACACACACACACACAC